GATTGAATCTCTTGGGTTTTCTAGGTATAGGATCATATCATCAGCAAATAGGGATAGTTTGACTTCTTCCTTACCAATATGGATGCCTTTGATTTCCCTTCAGTGGATAATTTTTAAGCTTCTCAATCTTTCTAGTGGTTGGGAATTTGCGGGGGGGGAGGGGGACGGGGAGAAACAAACCCACTGCTGTCAAGTTGAATCCAACTCATAACAATCCCTCCTTGGGTTTCCGAGGCTGTATCACTACAGAAGTAGGTTGTCTCATCTTCCTTCTGAGGAGTGGCTAGTGGGTTTGAACCGCCAGCCTTCTGGTTAGCAGTCAAATGCCTTAGGCACTATGCCATCAGAGCTCCCTTAGGGGAGAGAGTGTGCCAAATAAAATACTGACAGGGAGTGGTGGCAAAAAGATATGGACCCACCCACGCATGGCCATCGAGTCAATTCCAACTCACAGCAACTCTACAAGACAGAGCACAACTGCCCGTGAGGGTTGCCAAGGTTGTAATCTTTACTGGAACAGACTGCCTCATCTTTCTTCTGAAGAGTGGCTGGTGGATTAGAACCACCAACGTTTTGGTTAGTACCAAAATGCTTTAACCACTATACCACCAGAGCTCCTTAAAGATATGGAAGGGTACACAAATCCTCAACAAAATACTAGTAATTCAAATGCAACAATGCATAATGCAATTCGACAAAAAAAGGAAATAAAGGGTATACGGATTGAGAAAGAAGAAATAAAATGGTCTTTTTTTTTTTTTTCATTGTGACTTGGGTGAAGATTTACAGAGCAAATTCACTTTCCATACAGCAGTTTACATATACTTTGTCTCATGACACTGACCACAGTTTACCACAATGCAACAGCTCCCCTCTCACTTCCTCCCCATAGTTACCTCTTCCCAGTGTCCATCCCTCCATGGACTCCTGCCCCCTGAGCTGTCTCCCTGTGCATGAGCAGCCCTTCTTTCTCCCATGATTGTTTTCTCCAAGGAGTGTACCTACTTGAGGTAAATGTTCAGCTCCTATGCCTGTCTTTTGTTTGGCTGGACACCACAGGTGTGGGTTTAATTCCAGACCTGAAGGGCAGTTAGGGGCCATAGTCTCAGTGGTTCCACCAGGCTCTATCGGACCAGCAAACCTGGTCCCCCCGCCCCTTTTTCTTCCTCCAAATGATTTTGAGTTTTGTTCCACATTGTTCTGCCTCTCCATCAAGGATCTCCTACATAGATCCCCTTCCAAGTGGATGACAGTGGTAGCC